CGGGGTGGGGGGGGGGGGGGGGGGGGGGGGGGCTACGCTCCTGTATGCTACCAAAATAGAATATTATTTTATCACTTACCTTTAGCTTGCAACATTTGCTGCTCATCTCTTTCAGTGATCTCATTGTCACATTCACACCAGATAAATCAATATATTCAAGGTGAGGACAGTTTTTACCTTTGAAAAACACACGAAATAACCACACAATGACACAAACTGACCATGCAAGAAACAATTAAAAGAACCAACACATCTACGAAGCCTCTGTTGCCAAAGTTTCTGTGACACAGTAGGAATTTTGCAAGACGAATGTTTGAGGGAGCGGACTTGGTGTTTAGCAGTACGTCGGTTTGCTCAAACATTTCTTACAAATCCTTCAAAACTTAGAATTTACCGATGTAAAAACTCCTATACTGTGATCACAGAAACTTTGATAGTGTAAACCTGACTTTAGAAACATCAATACCAAATGCCTATACTGCTTACCAATGAGATAGAGGGAATAGTCGGTGAGAAGTCTTGCCGAATGAGATAAATCGAGGGATTTTAAATTTTGACATCCTCTTTTGAACAGCGAGAGTAAAATACGATCTGTTAAGCCTAAAAAAGAGATGTAACCAAATACGCTGCACAATATCATTGTTGATTATGTTTACACCGTTGTTTATTGTGTCTCGCTCATTGGTGAGCGGATTTCCAAGGCTATATTCCCAATTGATAGGGGATCCGAGGTACTTACGATTTTAACGTCCTTATCTGAGAAGACGCGAAAGTCTAACCATTTACTGATGTCAATGTAAAGGTAGATCTTTCTCCTCAATTGTTTTAAGACCTTGAGTAGAGGTCTGACCAAGGAATGAACCCAGCTCTCCCAGCTTGAAAGACAAGCATGGTGATCACGATACCATGCCAGGAGCTGTTGACACTGCCGTGAGTTGTGACTGGACTACCTAGCTGCGTTTTCTAGACAAAGCTTACCTCCAGTTCCACGGAAAGATACAAATACGCCTTTAAAATCCAGGTGTATTAGAGCTATCCACGTCTGCCTTGCTAGATTACGCCATCTATGACAAACTGTATGAAAAATTGGTGATGAGTAATTGTCAAAGTTGCACACTGTTGCTTCGGTGGCGCTGAGTCGTCAGAGTGAACGCCTTTCACTTTTGAGCTTCTCACTACGGATCCACCTTCAAACAGCTGGCTGTGTCTAGAAAAGAATTAACTTACTCTACAGCTAAAACAAGTTATATACCTCTTTCAATTTTAACACGGTCTTTAAGAGTCAAAAACATAAAAATGTACAACAGTATGTCGTCATTAAGACGTGAGATATCTTCTTGAATGTCTTCGTCATCACCATTAGGGTCTGTTTCAAACTGTTCGCGTTCTGTGGCTTCTGCTGTTTCCATGTATTTCTGGACAAAGTCCTAAAATTTTGAGTATTTTGATTGAGAGTTACTCTCTTGGTAGAATGGTCAATATTCGGCAATATTCTTAACTATGATCACATTTGTACAGTATATGCACCTCTAATGATTTCTTGGCGTCATTTTCATCAGTGTTTTCTCGTATTGGCCTAGCTGTAAGAAATGATAAACCATTGAGTTGCCTAATGTGATGTTAATGTTAGAACAGAATGTTTAAATTTTAATTTGTTGCAGGTTGAATGGCTGAATCTTACATCTTCGCTTTTTCTCAGCTCTGTTCACCCTCAGTGTCCTGAACAAGAAAATAACCTTTTTAAGATGGTGTTGGTGATAATGGTGGTGATGGTAATGATAATGGTGGTGATGGTGATGATGTTGGTGATGATGGTCGTAATGGTGATGATGGTAATGATGGTGGTGGTGATGGTAATGGTGATGGTAATGATGGTGGTGATGGTGATGATGATGGTGGTTATGATGATGGTGGTTATGATTATGGGGGTAATGGTGACAATGATGATGGTGGATTATAGTGGTGGTGATGGTGGCAATGGTGGTGGTGGCGATGATGGTGGTGGTGGTGATGATGATGGTGGTGATGATGATGGTGGTGATGATACTGGTTATGATGAAGATGGCGGTTATGATATTGATGATGAGGATAATGATGGTAGTGATGGTGCTTAATTATGGTGATGAGTGGGTGGCAGTGATGATGATGGTGGTGGTAATGGATTTAATAGTACTTACCTTCCATCTAAAATAAGTTCATCATCAGATGCTTCTAGTACTCTCTGAACCTCACTTTCATTACTGAATGTTACAAAGCCATACCTCGATAGAACACAACAAAAAATACTCTAAACCTCAGCTTGCTGGTTATCTGTGACAAACACTGCAATAACACCACTTCACAGAGTAGAGACATACAGAAGGTCGACTTCTTGGTTTTGCCTATGGTCCTAGAGGGTGGAATTGGGGGTATTCGATGCCGTAATACCATAAGCAAATTTTGTCAATAACCGCAGTTTTTGAGTCCAAAATTGCAAATACTGTGTACCACAAGATTTCCAATATCGTAATACTGCAATTTTTCAAGGAAAATACCGAAATACCGTAAGAAAAATAAGCTAATACCGCCATACCGTAAATCCCAATGTCCCCCTTGTCCTAGCCAGAGCGCTTATTAGAGGTATTCACCCCCCTGAGAATATTCAAAATAATGGATGTTCAGGGGGTGAATGCCTCTCATAACCACACTGGCTGGGAACATTGTGATTGATTTTGATGACAAATCATTGTGAATCATGGCGTGGCAGTGGTTACGCTTTTTTGGCCTAGTCAAACCTCGGTATGTCTCTGTTCTGTGACCACTTACCCCTTGGACCTCTTCCTAACTCTATCTTTAACAATCTGTGCATAAATAACCCGACCAAAACCTGAAAAAAATTCCTTCAACTGTGAAGTGGACAACTTATAACTTATATTGCCCACAAAAATTTTTGGCTGTGTCAATTTGACATTGTTGTCCTTATAAACACTTTTCACAGCTTTCAGTAAATTGTTTGTGTCGTCTACTAGGTTGTTTCCGCTTCCTCTTTCATCTGACGCGCGTTTTGAACTCTCTGTATTAATTGTTTCATTTTCTTGTATATTTGAAGCTACAGCAAAACCATTTATATCCACGTGCACTACTTGTTTTGAGTGTGTACAGCACGCATTATTTGGTGAGTTTATATTCGTAAATCCTTTTCTTGAATGTAGGTTTTGGTGTAGGTTTTTCAATTCTTGAAATTTGTTGTGTCTATCCATAATTTCGGCATTTTGTGCGTTGATGGCTGTATGGAATTCTGTAATTAATATTTTGCCCTCATTGGCATTTAATTCCTTCCCGCCAAAAACGTCTCCCCCCTGCGAAAACGAGAAGCGAGAAATTTTATTTTTATTATTTATATTTCAGAGGGGAAACCTCGGGGGAAACAACTGTAATTTATAAAAGTAGATAAAAGGACCATATGATTTTAGTTTATGACATTTACGCCTAGACTGTAAGCATCATTGACTGTTTATTTAATTATTTTTGTATCGTAAAATAAATATTTACATTGCGAAATTTCAGGTGATCAGTTTTCGTTCATAAAAATCCCAAAGTTTATAGTTTCAGTGCATGTAAATCGGCAAAATGACATGTGGAATAAGTAATATTGCTCCTTTTGAAAACTAGAAAGCTATTTTGATTTCCGCAGTCTGCAGATATAATATAAAAAGGTCTAAAACTTGCATATTCGATTATTTTGTAAAAAAAATTAAAAGCTCACTTCAAACCGGGGGGTTGTCTTTTCGATTGGACATCAACCCTTTACAGGTCTTGCGTTATCTTGTTGTGTTATATATTACGATTATATAACCTAGATATTTACACGCCATCAAAGGGACTATCATGGAAATACATATATAATATTTCGTACTATTAATTAATTTAACTTATTTTACACATGTGCTGTGACTTTGAAGCCTAAAGTGATTGTGGTGTCGATCGTCGATCGAGGTGTCAAAAAATGTCGTGTGGTATCCTGCAATGGTTGTATGTCAGATTGTTCTCTGTTATTCGACCAAAAGGAAGCACTCCTTTGCCAAGTGGTGTTATAATAGCGTTATTTGTTAGCATGGTAAGGTAGATGATAATATATTGCCAGATTAATTTATAGAACAGAGATTATGTGTAAAGTGAAATGTATAAATAAAGTGTCACGACATTACTGTAATAGGCTTAAGCCCCGTTTACACTACGCTCAATTTTTGGTACAGCACGGATAAAATTGATAACTATTAGATAGTCCAAGAACCAAAAAATGGTATAGTACCAAAAATTAAGCGTAGTGTAAACGGGGCTTAGCTAAATAGGTAGTCCAAGAACCAAAAAAGTGGTACGGGTACCAATTTTATCCGTGCCGTACCAAAAATTGAGCGTACTGTAAACGGGGCTTTAATGTTGCAAATTATGGCTTTAATGTTGCAAATTATGGCATTATGCCCTGTCTATAAAATATAGAGTTTCATTTGCTTAGTTTATAGCTCGATCATCAATGGTTCCATTGTTATGAAATTATTGTTTAATACAGCTTTGTTTTACACATGAGTGACTCGGTAATTATCATCGAATTAATTAATTAATTTTTATAGTATAAGGACTATAAGAAATTATTGCGGGAGGTCCGGGAGGGGGAGGCAGTTGGCCCTCCTAGTTTCTGCCATTGTCAACAAATTTCTTATAATCTTTTATAGTTTGGAAATGGAATTGCAATGCAAATGGTGTTTGCTTTCCTGCCTGATATGGTGAAGGTACACTAATTATCCAATACATGTTGCTAGGGTGTTTTTTGTTGTTTTCTTGTTTTATATACGGCTTAGTTTCATCCAAAATGTTAATACATTTTAGAGTTTTGGGATTGCCGATGAAGATGCAGGTTAGCATTTTAGCAGTTTTAATGTATTAATTCAGTTAATTATGTTATTTTGATGAAATGATCTAGCTGTATCTGATACTCATCTAATAATAATTTATACTGCACATTTCTTTGTTGTTTTTTAAGGTTATTATGTGGGGATGCTTGCATCTGCAGTATTTTTAGGCAGATTTGTTTCGAGGTAATTATTTAATTGTGGTTGTTGAAAAAGATGATTACCAATCCCGAATGAAATTATTGCATAAAAATCTAAAAAGTATTGAAACCTATTTACCCAGATTTAGAATGTATTGAAACCACAGGCAATTTGAGTGGGGGGGGGGTATGAACGTGGGTCCCTACTCCCTGGACGATAACAAGTTGTTGGAGCAACTTGCACCATAGCAAGTCTGTCAAGCTCAACCACCTTGTAGCAAGCAGTCCGGTTTGTGGCTGTCGGTTTGGGGGGGATGCTTTATGCCGAGGTCTAGGTGAATTTTAATTGTTAACTTTGATTCCTTCTTCCAGCTACTTCTGGGGCTGGCTTGCAGATAAAGTTGGCAGACGACAAGTTCTATTATGGACTACCTCCATGCTGGGTGTTGTAAGCATAGCATTTGGTTTTGCAAGATCATTTGAAGTTGCTCTTGTTATTAGATTTATTACTGGCATGGTTGCAGGTGTGTAAGTTACAATGGAAGAACTTAAAAAGTCTGACCGTGGCTGCTTTTCTAATTTTAACAAGTTCCAATTTTATAGGCATACCTGGAACAGTCAAGGCATCTTTGGCAGAAGTATGTGATGATTCAAACCAGGTTAGATTGCTCTTGTTTTGATGTTTGTGATGTTACTCTGAGTGTATATCCACACTGGGCAAGCTTGCTCTGCTAACTGAGCTATGCGGTCAGGTTGGTTCGAATATGTGATATTTCGGAACTGAGTCTAGTTCCTTTGATATCAATGCAATCTAGTAATCATGATATTTTTTTTCTGTGTTGGTGTTATGTGCTCAGGTATCATATTCACCTGAGTACACAACACCAACACAGAAAATATCATTACTCTTGTTTTGTTTGTTTGAAAAATCTCTGTTGAAATTTTATAAACCCATAATTATTAGCTGCAATGCACCAAACTTTATTATTGCATTTGTGATTCTGTCTATTGCCAGATGATTTTACTCGATCATCAAAGGGAGCTCCTATAGTCTTGCACTTTAAATGGGTTAATTAATTAGATAATTTTTCCAACTTTTTATAAGCTTGTATTTGCCATTTTCCCTACAGGCATTAGGAATGTCAGTAGTGGTGACTGCGTGGAATACTGGACTCATCATTGGTCCAGCTGTAGGAGGTAAGCTGTTTAATTAACGCTAAACTTGTCTTATGTTTATAACAATTTATTTCAGAATTCTGGTAGCTCATCTGGTCAGTCTCCCCAAGGGAGCCATATGTCCTGTTGATGACATCCTTTCTCATCTCTTTACTACTAGGTTACCTTGCAAATCCAGTTGAAAAATATTCTGTATTTAAAGAGAGTAAGTAAAATTCTTTGAGTATAAGTTTAAGCCAGTCTGGAATAAGCCATATGAGTCTTAGGTTGTCTCAAGTCAATAATTAAGGCCAGGCCAAAGTATTGATCTTTCCACATACTGTTTATACAATTAATAATCACAGAGGAACCATGCAAGGCAGGATCAAACTTTATTTACAAGTGCAAAATGTAGGCCAAAGCAAGGCTCAGGCCAGACCAATGTTTACAGTATAAACACTGCTAAGCAATCTGTATGTATATCCTAACTCAACTGTTATTCTTATTATAACGGAGGAGACATAGACTACATTTTATTTCAGCTGTAGTAAAATGTTTCATCTTCCTCCAATAAAAAGTGGCACAAGTTAAAAAAAGATTTGCTGGTTTTCCTTGAAGCAATGTTACAAAACCATTACACTGTGCCAACAATGAACTTGAAAGTTTATAATTTTCCCTGCAATTAATCTATTTTCAGGTTCTTTTTTTGAAAACTTTGCCTACCTATTCCCATGTCTGGTGAATGCAGCAATTTGCTTCTGCAGTTTTCTCCTGGTATTTTTTATCTTGCCTGAAACATTAGCTTCTAAACGGTATGTGCGCGCCTCACATTTGCGAGTCAGGGATTCGATTCAATATCCAGTACGTTGTCTGATTATAATTTCACCTCAGTTGCATGCGAGAGGAGTGCTAGCTTCCAGTTTAATTCTACCAAAGACGAGGTACGGTTTTCTCTAGGTACAGTACTCTAGTTTTTCCTCCTGTAGTAACACTGGATCAATAAAGGATGATCCTTACTGGATCTCTAAGGAGAACAGTTTAGAAGTGATATAGTGTTAGAGCTATCTAGTATAAATAAAGTTAGTTTAGTTTAGGTTTCCTCCTGTAGTAACACTGGATCAATAAGAGATGACCCTTACTGGACCTCTAGGAAGAACAGTTTAGAACTGATAGAGCTATCCAGTATAAATAAAGTTAGTTTAGTTTAGGTTTCCTCCTGTAGTAACACTGGATCAATAAGAGATGATCCTTACTGGACCTCTAGGAAGAACAGTTTAGAACTGATAGAGCTATCCAGTATAAATAAAGTTACTTTAGTTAAGGTTTCCTCCTGTAGTAACACTGGATCAATAAGAGATGATCCTTACTGCACCTCTAGGAAGAACAGTTTAGAACTGATACAGCTATCCAGTATAAATAAAGTTAGTTTAGTTGAGGTTTCCTCCTGTAGTATTAACACTGGACTGATAAAGGATGACCCTTACTGGACCTAAGGAGAACACTTTAGAACTGATAGAGCTATCCAATGTAAATAAAGTCAGGCTAATACGTTTAGTTGACCAGCGAAAAGCGAAAAAGAAGTTGTTGATTTTAACAATCTCTTTCTTCTTTTAAAAGAAAGACGAAAGACAAAGAAATACCAGCATCGATTATTAACCCAGAAACGGAAATTCACAAAACTCCACAAGCTTCTTCAAACAGACAACGGTCAACGCCGAAAACAAGTCAGATTGATCTACGGAACGGCTGTCAGTCAGGACAACAAGATGAGGACTCCACCATCCAAAGGTCACTCCCAAAAAGTACAGAAATGTTGTTACTGTCCGGATCTGTGTCCTTCTTACCCGAAATATATCTGCAAAGCTATCCTGGTTCCATGGTTAAAGTTGATAATGCGAAAGAGGAGCCATATGTGCCTACCGTGGGAAAAGCTAAGCCTGGAGTATTAAGAAAAACGTATAAATCAATGAAACAAAGTAACCTGGCAAAACTTTGTAGGTATGGGTTATTATAAACCTGCAGCTTTCGTTGGCAAATGCCTGAAAAATATAAGGAGACGAGTCCATTTTTAAACTGACTTAATTAAGTTAGGTGGATTAAATAATCAGAGCCCTGGTCATATGTAGATACTTATATAAGCTCACATTGTTGGGTTTGGTTTTCTTACAGAAATAAAGACGTGAGATATTGTATTGGTCTATATAGTGTATTTGCGTTTGCTGTGGTAGCCGATCATGAAATGTACAGTTTGTGGGCGGCAACTGGACAACAATTCGGTGAGTTCTTAGAGTTAACTAACTGCTCTTGGAGTTAACTACTGTAACTTTGTTTCAAACCCTAGAGTTTCGGTAAGGACCATTCTTCATATTGGTGCTACAGAAGGAGTGCCTGGAGAAATCTGAGAAGTATGTTTGTGATGTTGCTCTGAAACGTTTGCTTGACCGCGCTGGGAATCGAATCCGGTGTGGGCACACTCATGCAGAGTAACATCACAAACATATATCTTTGCATGAGTGCCCAACACCAGGAACAAGAATTCAAGATCATAAAAACACACTGATGTCGAAGGAACTAGGACTGAGTTCCGATATAACACCGACTCGAACCGAGTTACCTCGTAGCTCAGTTGGTAACAAACTGGTAGCAAAGTTGGTAGCATTGGACTAGCAAACCAGCATTGCCCATTGTGGATACACTCAGAGACAACCTCACAAACATATTTCCTTCATCTGAGTGCAGAACACCAGAAACAAAAATTGAAAATCTGAGAAAGTCATGCAATTGAACTGAGGCAGGTTTATAGGTTTATAATGAATCAATTGCATGAATGAAACCCAATCAGAAAGGTGAAACAAACATGTACTAACCACTGTTTCGCTCCACAGGTGGCCTTGATTTTAGCACAGATGATCTTGGATTTACTTTAATGGTCGTAGGGATTGGCTGTGCTATTTCCAACTGTATTGTTTTCCCACAGGTGATTTACTATACGCATAGTTAATAGAAAACAATACTATGGTGCAACTGTAGTGATGACATCACCTTCTTGCAGGCCTTAAAATATCTTTTCCAGGGCCGTCTGACAAAATGTCCGGTGACGTTGAGTTTGGGTCGGACATATGTCCGATGACCTTCAGTTCATTTTTGACTCGGAAATAAGTCTGAATGACACAAATGAATAAATGGTAAATGTTGTAAAGATATTAAATAATTTGTTTCTTTCATACTTATTTCCAAGCCAAAATTAACTTGCTTGCCAGAACAGCAGTGTTAAAAAGACTTCGACAACTTAAGCCCGTTTTCCACTTCACTATTTCGCTCGCCGCCCCGCGCTCTACTGCGTTAAAACTACATTTCCAGTTGACCTTTTATACAATAGTACTCTGATTTTCCATTTAACATAGAAGTCTGCCTCTAGTCCTGGCCTCCTGGGCTAGAGTACATTTTGATTTACGTCGGACAAAGCTACAGTTCGGTCGGACACCAATACACTCGGGTCGGACAAACAATAAACCTCAGTTTCACTTAGGTCGGACAGAATGTCCGGTGGTTTCTTTTCTACGTCGGACAATTTCACGAGTGGGTCGGACAATGTCCGTGACCGACCGATATTTTAAGGCCTGTCTTGGACTCCCCCCCAACCCATGGGGACGCATGGGGAGAATAAGAATAATGGCATCGAACCTGCAGCTCTGCGATTCCGGTGCAGCGCTCTAACCAAATGATAAAGTTAACAGAATCCCAGAGCCGCAGGTTCGATTCCTGCAAGAGGGCCTATAGTTGCATTTTTCACAACTGTTCCAGGTTAGATGTAATAAATCCAATAATATAAAACTTTGCCCAACAGACGTTTTAAAATGGTTACATTTCTTTTCTTTATACTAGATGGTAAAAGTCTTTGGACTCATGAAGGTACTGTAGTTACATCATTGAAGTAAATTCTTTCACGGTAGCACTAGCTGATATCAAAGTGAGCATGAAAGTAAATTCTTTCATTAGTTGGGCTATATGACATTCAAGCATACATCATGCGTTGACAGACAGGAATTTTATTCCGGTACATTGCCTACGTACTAATGCAAAGATTTTCTACTTCCAGACCCAGTTTATCACGTTGACTACGATGATGTTCTTCATAATTGTACTTCCTGCTGCCAATAGTCTTTATGGCAGGTTGGTGGAAATGAACTAACTTTATTTATACTGGATATTTTTTATCAGTTCTAAAACTAAACTGTTCTCTCTGGAGGGCCAGTAAGGATCATCTCTTATTGATCCAGTGTTACTACGGGAGGAAACCTAAACTAAACTAACTTTATTTATACTGGATAACTCTATCAGTTCTAAACTGTTCTCTCTGGAGGTCCATAAGTTCTAAACTGTTCTTCCTGGAGGTCTAGTAATGATCATCTCTTACTGGTTCAGTGTTACTACAGGAAGAAACCGGAGTACCCCACTAGAAAACCTATTTGCCCGTGTTTGGTAGAGTCAAACTGGAAGCACTCTTCTCACATGCGACTGAAGTTCCGTTTTCTAATTTTCTCTGGGTTGTTTCTGTTTAGAGGTGTAAGTTTGACGGCTACGGTCATCGTTCTTGTCTTAGTGAGTAGAATTTGTGCGGGATGCTGTTTTACTGGACAATTCATCATGATTGGTAATTGTGTACCCTCGCATTTAAGAGCGACTGTTCACGGGTTGTCTATGAGTGCGTCTTGTGCTGCTAGGTTAGTATGGTTGCAAGTATCTGCCTTTATTGGATAGCTCTATCAGTTCTAAACTGTTCTCCTTAGAGGTCCAGTAAGAGTCGTGTCTTATTGATCCAGTGTTACTGAAGGAGGAAACCTAAACTAAACTAACTCAGTTATACTGGATAGCTTTATCAGTCGTAAACAGTTCTCCGTGGAGATCCAGTAAGGATCATCTCTTATTGATCCAGTGTTACTACAGGAGGAAACCTAAACTAAACTAACTTTATTTATACTGGGTAGCTCTATCAGTTCTAAACTGTTCTCCTTAGAGGTCCAGTAAGAGTCGTGTCTTATTGATCCAGTGTTACTGAAGGAGGAAACCTAAACTAAACTAACTCAGTTATACTGGATAGCTTTATCAGTCGTAAACAGTTCTCCGTGGAGATCCAGTAAGGATCATCTCTTATTGATCCAGTGTTACTACAGGAGGAAACCTAAACTAAACTAACTTTATTTATACTGGGTAGCTCTATCAGTTCTAAACTGTTCTCCTTAGAGGTCCAGTAAGAGTCGTGTCTTATTGATCCAGTGTTACTGAAGGAGGAAACCTAAACTAAACTAACTCAGTTATACTAGATAGCTTTATCAGTCGTAAACAGTTCTCCGTGGAGATCCAGTAAGGATCATCTCTTATTGATCCAGTGTTACTACAGGAGGAAACCTAAACTAAACTAACTTTATTTATACTGGGTAGCTCTATCAGTTCTAAACTGTTCTCCTTAGAGGTCCAGTAAGGATCATCTCTTATTGATCCAGTGTTACTACAGGAGGAAACCTAAACAAAACTAACTTTATTTATACTGGATAGCTCTATCAGTTCTAAACTGTTCTCCCTAGAGGGTTCAGTAAGGATCATCTCTTATTGATCCAGTGTTACTACAGGAGGAAACCTAAACTAAACTAACTTTATTTATACTGGGTAGCTCTATCAGTTCTAAACTGTTCTCCTTAGAGGTCCAGTAAGAGTCGTGTCTTATTGATCCAGTGTTACTGAAGGAGGAAACCTAAACTAAACTAACTCAGTTATACTGGATAGCTTTATCAGTCGTAAACAGTTCTCCGTGGAGATCCAGTAAGGATCATCTCTTATTGATCCAGTGTTACTACAGGAGGAAACCTAAACTAAACTAACTTTATTTATACTGGGTAGCTCTATCAGTTCTAAACTGTTCTCGCTAGAGGTCCAGTAAGGATCATCTCTTATTGATCCAGTGTTACTATAGGAGGAAACCTAAACAAAACTAACTTTATTTATACTGGATAGCTCTATCAGTTCTAAACTGCATGTTCTCCGTAGAGGTCCAGTAGAGGTCCAGTAAGGGTCATCTCTTATTGATGCATGGAAACCTAAACTAAACTAACTTTATTTATACTGGATAAAACACAAAACATATTGTTTTGTGTTTTATTAGAATACTCTATGGCAACCGCAATTTTTATGTTGGATATCTCTATCAGTTGTAAACTGTTCTCCCTAGAGGTCCGGTTAGGGCTATGCATCCTTATTATTGGGCCAGTGTGGTAGCTCCTAGAGAAACAGATGCGTCAGTAAGACAATATATTGTATTAATTCTCCTTTTCCAGAACTGTTTCTCCAACCGTGGCGGGCAGTATGTTCTCATGGTCCATCACATCTGGTTTAGGGTTCCCATTCAACGAAAAATTCGTATTTATATTTATTGGATTTGTAACCTGGCTTGCGTTGGTCGTTGCCTGTTGCTTAGACGAGGAAGCTGTTACTAAACGGTCCACGAAGTGCGTTTTTAGTGACGACGACGAGCAGACGAGGATCTGACCTCTAGAGGGCACTTACTAGTTACTACCTTCCCCAGCGAGTGAAGTCGAGCGAAATCTAAATCTCAAATTAATAATTCATGAGTACATTGGCCAACCATATTGCTGTATTTTGCTCGCATGATAATACTAACGGTTCTCCACCGAAAAAACAAACGCTTGTTTTTTGAGTAAAATTCAATATTTTCATACATTACTCTACATATACTGTTTTCAAATTCATCAATTGAATTCACACGCTTTTTAATATTTACGTGTAATGTTAAAAAAAAATAATAAATACATCATTATATATATTAGATTATATACAGCAGAATATATATGTATAGAGAATAATGTATAATAAGCTAGGTAGTTTATTATGTTATATTTATACAATCAAATATTGATAATTTATATTTTGTAAAACATGAAATGTAGAATTTTTGAATCACTACTTCAGTACTTGTCCATAAAAGTTTGTGTAGAGGTGGTCTGGCAGTTTTAATGAGTGGTTAAGGCCTAGGAGTTAGAGCCGCACTAATATAGACTAATATAGACTTGGAATATAGACTTGGATCAAGTCCGTCTCTCTAGAGACGGGCTTGATCCAAGTCTAGGATTAAGATGGGAAACGCGAGCTTCCAAAACTTTCCAAGCTATGAAAATATGCAAGAAGGAATATATGTTCTATACTTTACTCCTGATATTTAAATTTCCTTCCCGCCGGAAACTTCTCCCCCCCCCTGCAAAAACGAGAAGCATCCATCTATTAAAGACACGAAATGATTTTCGTTCATCAAAATCTCGAAATTTGTAGTTTTAATGCACATAAATCGGTAGAATGACATGTGGAATAACGTTTTTGCTCCTTTTGAAAACTAAAAAATATTTTGCAGTCTAATTGCAGAGAAACTCAGCTCGATTCGTTGTAAAAGACCAGGGGGGTTATCTTTTCGATGGGAACAAATTTATGCTTAACCGGTCTTGCGTATTAAGGTCACAGAATAGATTTGTGTTAAGGTATTGTATAATATAACCAAGATGAACGGTAAATATTTACACGCCATCTGAAGGAATATATTGGGAATACATGTATAAGTATAATATTTCGTACTGTTAACCTATTTTAATTAAGCATGTGTTGTAACTTTGAACCCTAAGTGACCGGTGGTGTTAATCTTTGGTGGTGTCGTCGAAGTGTCAGAAAATGTCGTGTGGTGTCGTGCAATGGTTATCTGTCAGATTGTTCTCTGTTATTCGACCGAAAGGGAGCACTCCTTTGCCAAGTGGTGTTATAATAGCGTTATTTGTTAGCATGGTAAGGTAGAGGATAATATATTGCCAGGATAACTTATGGAACACCCAGATTTCTACTGATAAAGCGTATGCCATAATTTGCAACATTTTGTATATGTTTGACAGCGCTTAACGTTGCAAATTATGGCATACGCCGTGTGCATCTTTTCTTGAACGCCCCAATATATATATTGGGTGGTTGGTCTCGACAAGTACATGTTCGTTAGATACAGAGCTGCCAAGTTCAGATGATTAAAAACCTGGAGGTTGTTGGGGCCTGTAGTTCGTACCCCCTCCCCCCTGACATATGTGATAAATATAGTGATATCTATGTTATTTAATACATACTGATCATATAGCCAGACAGAGAATTCCTGCAATTGCCAATAAATTTCTTATAATGTTTTATAGTTTGGACATGCAATTGCAATGCAAATGTTGTTTGCTTTCCTGCCTGATATGGTGAAGGTAATTACCCAATACATATGTGCTGGTGGTTTTCTGATGGTTTTTTGTTTTCCTGGCTTAGTTTCACGTGTTAATATGTTTTAGAGTTTCGGAATTACTGATGAAGATGCAGGTTAGCAGTTTTAATATACTTTAACTTAATACAATTAATTAAAGCCTAACGTCCCAATCATGAGAACGAGGCTCAGGGGCGCCGGAATATCAATAATTGCGGGGGCAGATATTCATATATTCGTGAACTTCACAGACTGTAAAAACAATCGATTTCAAAAGAAATTAATTGGGCAGAACACGAATATATGAATATCTGCCCCCCCAATTATCGATATTCCGGCGCCCCTGACGAGGCTATATATAGCCAAGGTGATCTAGCTGTACTTTCCGGAACCGTGTATTAAGTTATTCCAATTAAATTTATGCATGATCTAGCTATAGCATACTGTTTAATAATTGATACATAATTCTTTATTTTAAGGCTATTATGTGGGAATGCTAGCATCTGCAGTATATTTAGGCAGATTTATTTTGAGGTACAGTGTAATTATTTAATTGTGCTTGTTAACCCATTGAGTGGCACTCTCCCCCTGACGAGCAAAATCTAGCATATTATAGACAAAGTAAAATGATAAAGTAGGGCGCATCTGGGCATATTGCCGTTGGACTGTCTCCTTATGGAACAAACTTCCAGAGAATATAAAAACGTCTTTTACAAAATCATACATAGCAGCATTTAACCTTCGATGATTTTTAAATCCATATCAGTAATTGATTAGTTAGAATTTCATGTCAGTATGATGTATGATGTTAATTGGCTCTGAAAAGCCCCATTGGGGAGAGTTCAATAAATTATTGTATTGTATGGGTAGGTAGTGTGTGTGTGTGGGAGTGCTTTATGCTGAGCTCTAGGTGAATTTTAATTGGTTAATTTTGGTTCATGATTTTTTTCTGTGTTGGTGTTATGTACTCAGGTGAATATGATATGTTTGTGGTGTTACTCTGAGTGTAAGAGCATTGGGCTAGTACTCCAAAGGTTGTAGGTTCAATTCCCACCGTGGGCAGGCATATTTTTCAAGCTTGCCCGGTGTGGATATAACACTCAGAGTAACACCACAAACATAATTTTGGTTCCTTCTTCCAGCTACTTCTGGGGCTGGCTTTCAGATAAAGTTGGCAGACGACAAGTTTTGTTATGGTGTACTTCCATGCTGGGTGTCGCAACCATAGCATTTGGTTTTGCAAAATCATTCGAAGTTGCTCTTGTTATTAGATTTATTACTGGCTTGCTTGCAGGTGTGTAAGTTACAATGGATGAATTTATAAAGTCTGACTGTGGCACTGTGCTTTTCTAATTTTAACAAGTTCCAATTTTATAGGCATACCTGGAACAGTCAAGGCGTCTTTGGCAGAAGTGTGTAATGATTCAAACCAGGTTAGATTACTCTTGTTTTGTTTGAAAGTATCCTTGTTAGTATTTTTATGCAAAATTCATTGGCCCGTTAAGCTGAAATGCTCCAAAATATGCACCAAATATATTATTTCATTCTGTGATTCTGTCTAATGCCAGACAATTTTACTTGTCAAGGGGAGAGTCTCATGCTATAATGGGTTAGCGAGGCAATCTGCCACTCTATTTTGATAGCCCAATAAAGGTGCAATGCACACAAATGCACCAGACTTTATCATTTCACTCTGTCTAATGCCAGATGATTTTACTTGTCAAAGGGAGCTCCTAGTCTTGCACTTTAATGGTACTTAATGAATTAGATAAATTTTTCCAACTTTCTAAGCATCAGTACTTGCCATTTTCCCTACAGGCATTAGGAATGTCAGTGGTGGTGACTGCGTGGAATACTGGTCTCATCATTGGTCCTGCTATAGGAGGTAAGCTTATAACCGTAAGTATTCCCATCCAAATAAGTTTTGATAACTCTCACTGTTACAAATTTCAACATTTAACAAGAGGAGACTCAAGTGAACGCAGTCAACAACTAAATGATTCATTAAATATAAATAATACACTCCCTTACAAAAAAAGTCTATAGGCCTGGCCTATAGGCCAACCTATAGGTTCCTATAGGAAACCTATAGGTTTTTATAGGCAATTGGAACATTTTCTATAGGTGACCTATAGGGATGTCTATAATCCTATAGAGCTCTATAGATGCCTAAAGGCTTCTATAGGGAATTGGAACATTTTCTATAGGCACCTATAGGCCACCTATAGACTTTTTTCGTAAGGGCTAAAATCCACATAATCCTTCAACGAACTTCTATATGCTTAAGTCATCAATGAGGAAAGACTGATGGCAAACTGATAGTATTCAAAAGCTATCAGGAGACCGTAAAGGTGTTTAACATTTTCCTAATGCTTAAAATTTTCTTAGTATCCAGTCGGAATATATGTCATTCATAGTTTGGTATCCAAAACCAAATTTTTGATGTCCTGTGGACCTAATGCTAAATTTGTCTCATTTGTGTTCCATAACAACTTATTTCTGCATTCTGGTTAAGCGTAATTGTCTGGTCGGTCTTTCCATGGGAGCCATGTCCTGTTGATGACCGTCCTCTCTTTACTACTAGGTTACCTTGCAAATCCAGTTGAAAAATATTCTGTATTTAAAGAGAGTAAGTAAAATTGTTTATTATAAGTATTGGTTTACGGCAAACTTAGAATAAGTCATATTTAGGCCATGTTTACACTAATTGAGCCTTAATTAGCTTGTTCCAAGTCAAGGCCAGGCCAATTAATTAACTATAAAGGCAATTAATTGCAATATATACATTTCCATTGTTTACAAAATTGCCACAAGGTTTGGCTTAGGCCAACTATAGCCACCGATTGCAGAAGGCCCAGACTTTCTAGCCTAGCTCAAGCCTAGACTAGGCCAAAGTTTTGTTACAAGTTACCAAAATGTAGACCAAAGGAATTAAGGTTCAGGCCAGGCCAATGCCAATCGACCTATTCCCTAATGAACACAATTTTAATCTAGACAAATCTGAACAAAAATTTCATCACAGCTTGAAAGAGCATCACAAAATTAGTAATATTCCGAAGTTTCGTTGCGAAATGTTGTAAAATGTGGATAATATAGCCTTGCGAAGTTTGCCGTTTTTCAGTCATTTTGTATTGCGCATGCGAAATTGATACCTTTTTTCAGAAGGCGGTATCAATTTCCCGTGCGTAATACAAAATGACTGAAAAACGGCAAACTTCGCAGGGCTATATTATCCGCATTTTACAATATGTCGCAACGAAACTTCGGAATATTACCAATTTTGTGAATTGTGATGCTCTTTCAAGCTGTGATGAAATTTCTGTCTAGACTTGTCTAGATCAAAATTTTGTTCATTAGGGAATAGGTCCATTATATTAATGTTCAATGAGTATGAACATGCACTGCTATGCAATATACGTATATCCTAACTCAATTGCTATTCAGCTATAGTAAAATGTTTCATCTTCCTCCAATAAAAAGTGGCACAAGTTAAAAATGATTGAATTGCTGGTTTTCGTAATTGAAGCAATATTACAAAACCATTAGTCATTACACTGTGCCAACACTGAACTGCTGCAGTTGAAAGTTTATAATTTTCCCTGCAATCTATTTTCAGGTTCTTTTTTTGAAAACTTTGCCTACCTATTTCCATGTCTGGTGAATGCAGCAATTTGCTTCTTCAGTTTCCTCCTGGTATTTTTTATCTTCCCTGAAACGTTAGCTTCCAAACGGTACTGTGCGCGCCTCACATTTACAAGTCAAGGATTCGATTCAATATACAGATTACAGTTGTCTGATTATAATTTCACCTCAGCAGGATGTGAGAAGAGTTCTTCCAGTTTGATTCCAGGCCAAAGGCTACTTAAAACTGATAGAGCTATCCAGTATAAATAAGATTAGTTTAGTTTAGGTTTCCTCGCCTGTAGTATTATACTGGATCAATAAGAGATGATCCTTACTGCACCTCTATATAGGAAGAACAATTTAGAACTGGCAGAGCTATCCAGTATAAATAAGATTAGTTTAGTTTAGGTTTCCTCCTGTAGTAAAGTTAGTAACACTGGATCAATAAGAGATGATCCTTACTGGACCTCTAGGAAGAACAATTTAGAACTGATAGAGCTATCCAGTATAAATAAGATTAGTTTAGTTTAGGTTTCCTCCTGTAGTAACACTGGATCAATAAGAGATGATCCTTACTGGACCTCTAGGAAGAACAATTTAGAATTGATAGAGCTATCCAGTATAAATAAAGTAAGTTAGTTTAGGTTTCCTCCTGTAATAACACTGGATCAATAAGCCCTTACTGGACCTCTAGGAAGAACAATCTAGAACTGATAGAGTTATTCAGTGTAAATAAAGTTAGATTAATAAATTTAATTGAGCAGTGAGAAAGAATTTGTTTATTTCACAATCTTTTTCTTCTTTTAAAAGAAAGACGAAAGATAAAGAAATACCAGTATCGATTCTTAACCCAGAAACCGAAATTCGCAAAACTTCTCAGGCTTCTTCAAACAGACAACGGGCAACGCCGAAAACAAGTCAGAATCATTTACCAGACGGCTGTCAGTCAGGACAAGAAGGCGAAGACGCCACCATCCAAAACTCAATCTCAAAAACTGAAGAAATGTTGCTACTGTCTGGCTCTGTGTCCTTCTTACCTGAAATACATCTACAAAGCTATGCTGCATCGATGGAAAAAAATGATGATGCGAAAGAGGAGCCATATGTGCCTACCGTGGGAAAAGCTAAGCCTGGAGTATTAAGGAAAACTTATAAATCAATGAAACAAAGTAAACTGGCAAAACTTTGTAGGTATGGGTCATTATAAAGATTATTAGAAAATTCTTAAACGTGGTGGTCCGCTGTAGGTAGTATTCTACAATAAGCTGGCGTGATTTGTATCTGAACTACCTGAAGAAGATATCTCAAACGTTGTGGTCCAGTGTAAGTAGGATTCTACAATAAGCTGTCGTGGTTTGTGTCTGAACTACCTGAAAAAGATATCTCAAACGTGGTGGTCCAGTGTAGGTAGTATTCTACAATAAGCTGGCGTGATTTGTGTCTGAACTACCTGAAAAAGATATCTCAAACGTGGTGGTCCATTGTAAGTAGGATTCTTCAATAAGCTGTTGTGATTTGTGTCTGAACTACCTGAAAAATATATCTCAAACGTTATAGTTAAAAACTTCTGGTACCAGATAGACTCATTATTGGGTTTGGTTTTCTTACAGAAACAAAGACGTGAGATATTGTGTTGGTGTATATACTGTATTTTCTTTTGCTGTGGTAGCTGAAAATGAAATGTACAGTTTGTGGGCGGCAACTGGAAAAGAGTTTGGTGAGATTCGCCCTCTTAGTCTTACCATTATTGGTTGTTATAGATTTTCCATATTATGGTACCTTTATTTAGTAAAAACCAATTAACCATGATTATTTATTGAGCGTTCTCTGACTTAATATTTATTTCTACGAGCTTTCGGCTATCAGTCTATAGCCTTCGACGGGTGTATACAAATGATTCTATAAAGGACGCTAAAATTAAGTAGGTGGTATGAAATCTGAGACTATCTATGCTATGTTACAAATGGGTAATATGAATATTTAACTTCATATTACCCATTTGTAACATAGCATAGATAGTCTCAGATTTCATACCACCTACTTAATTTCAGCGTCCTTTATAGAATCATTTGTATACACCCGTCGAAGGCTATAGACTGATAGCCGAAAGCTCGTAGAAATAAATATTAAGTCAGAGAACGCTCAATAAATAATGTTTCAACCTGGCTACGCGTCTTCTATTTTTTCAAGAACCATGATGTTCAATCAATACTTACCAGGAAAATACCATTAATCGTTTTTACCAAATAAGAATTTACCATATGGGAAATCTATAGTAACCAATAGTGGTTTTAAGAGTTCAGTTTTTACATTGATAGAAAACATGGTAAATCTTTAAAAACTATTCAAAAATGCATTAATGGAAATTTAAATTTCCCAATGACGCAAAATATTTGCTATTTATGTGAAGTGGGGATTTTTTTGGAACTAAAAACTCTTGCGTAATCTTTATACTTCAAGCATAATCGTTCGAAAGAAGCAAATTGTGTGTTGCTGTGGTAACAATGTGGCTGAAGCGACAGCAGTCGACACAGATCAAATTTTGGACTAAAACTGTTCATATGCTAGCAACCTAATACCCCCCCCATTATTTTGCGAAATGTCCACGTCTAGAATCAAAGCCCGTCCAGAGTTCAGTGAATGGTTGCACTAAACAGTGTTTCGCTCCACAGGTGGCCTTGATTTCAGCACAGATGATCTTGGATTTACTTTGATGATCGTAGGGATTGGCTGTGCTATTTCCAACTGTATTGTTTTTCCACAGGTAATATTAACGTTTTTGTGGTTAGAGCACGATCATAAAATAATCTGGGGAAAATTGACCTTTGCGTAACTTAACTTTGCATAACAAAATATTGCTATCCAGTCATGATCCAATAATTGGAATGTTCCATTGTCTCTTCATTGTTTTGAAAATCCCACTGTTTTCCATGCCGTCCAGTGATTCAGTGATTGGAATGTTCCATTGTCTTTTCATTGTTTTGAAATGTCACTGTGCTCCATGCCATCCAGTTACTCGTAGTTTAGGTATATTTGTGTATATTTGCTTGTGAGTTGAAATTGTATGTCAAGGGGTTTATATAATTATGACTAAATTTTTTTATAGATGGTGAAAACTTTTGGACTTATGAAGGTATACAGTTAATAGTTTTAACATCAAAGTAAATTCTTTCCGGGTTGGGTTATAAGACAAGCACACATATGTGAATTGAATACTGACACAAACGATTTTCTACTTCCAGACTCAGTTTATAACGTTGATTGGGATGGTGTTCTTCACAACCGTACTCCCCGCAACAAATAGTCTATATGGCAGGTAGGTGGAAATCAAGTAAACCTTATCTGTTGATGGATTGCTCTATCAGTTCTAAACTGTTCTCCCTAGAGGTTCAGTAAGAAAACTTTCAATCAGCATCTTATAATTTTGTCTGTATTGTTTCCATTTAGAGAGGTAATTTTGAAGGCTGTAGTCATCGTTGTTGTGTTAATAATCAGAGTTTTTCAGGGATGTTGCTTTACTGGACAGTTTATTATGATCGGTAATAGCGTGACATCGGAATTAAGAGCGACTGCTCACGGTTTTTCTACGAGTGCAGTTTGTGCTGCTAGGTTAGTATGGAAGAGTATCTGTTCTAAACTGTTCTCCCTAGAGGTCCAGTAAGGGTCATCTCTTATTGATTCAGCATTTCTACAGGAGAAAATCTAAACTAAACTAACTGTATTTTTCTGGATAGCCCTATCAGTTCTAAACTGTTCTTCTTAGAGGTCCAGTAAGGATCATCTCTTATTGATCCAGTGTTACTACAGGAGAAAACTAAACTAAACTAACTTTATTTATACTGGATAGTTCTGTCAGTTCTTAGTCTATCAGTTCTAAACTGTTCTTCCTAGAGGTCCAGTGAGGATCATCTCTTATTGATCCAGTGTTACTACAGGAGGAAACCTAAACTAAACTAACTTTATTTATACTGGATAGCTCTATCAGTTCTAAACTGTTCTCTCTAGAGGTCCAGTATAAGAGTCATCTCTTATTGATCCAGTGTTACTACAGGAGAAAAACTAATCTAAACTAACTTTATTTAAATTATTTATGCTGGATAAAACACAATAGAATAGACACTCCGAAAATTGTAAACATTTTCGGAGTGTCTATTGTTTTGCGTTTTACTAAAATACTCTATAATAATCTCTAATTTTTATGCTGGATTAGATATCTCTATCAGTTGTAAACTGTTCTCCCTAGAGGTCCAGTTAGGGCCATCCCTACTATTGGGCCAGTAGTAGCTCCTAGAAACCAGATGCGTCAATATATTGTATTAATTCTCCTTTTCCAGAACTGTTGCTCCAACCGTAGCGGGCAGTATGTTCTCATGGTCCATCACATCTGGTTTAGGGTTCCCATTCAACGAAAAATTCGTATTTATATTTATTGGATTTGTAACCTGGCTTGCGTTGGTCGTTGCCTGTTGCTTAGACGAGGAAGCTGTTACTAAACGGACTACGAACTGAATTATGTTGTTCATACGAAGAAGGCACGTTGTGTCCTTGTCCGTGACGAGCAGATGAGTGTCTGACCTCTTTGGAAAGAGACTAAAGTACTGTTGTGAGATTTTGTGCTTGTTTGAGAAACTGTGTTTGAAGCTAGAGGGATGGGCAAGAGGAAGGTTTTCAAAATATGGCGGGTAAATAATTAGTGTAGGTTTTTTTATTAAAATATATTTGGTGATTAGGATGGGTAGGGTTGCTGAAAGTAATAAATTATTTGGTTTAGTATTTATTTATTTATTTATGTTAAGGTGAAGGGTTTGGTTTGGTAGGTTGGTGTGTGAGGAGGTGGGGGTAGGGAAGTGGGCGGGGTTAAAGAAGTGGGTGGGGTTAAAGAAATTAGGTGGTAGATAGGTGATGAGGCAGTGGCGGACACTAAAATTTGAATCCCGGAAATGGCATTTGCGGCATTCTGAGAACACATTTTGTAAAAAACTAGGTTTTCAAAACACTGTTTTAATGGTGCATTTTGTTACAAATCACATGCTAAGCATAGAAAACCAACATTTCAGGGAAAATATTTACCCCCTAGTATCCGTCAAAAAGAGTGTATAAAATGCGTATGTTGTGACGTGTACTGTACTGTACTGTACTGTACTGTACAGTACAGTACAGTACAGTACAGTACAGTACAGTACAGTACAGTACAGAAACATATATTATGATAACAATTACGTTATACGAATGTGATTTGTGTTATTTGGTACAAGATTTTTACAGTCTTTCAAAATTATTGGGGGCTCGCACCCCCCCACCCCTAGTGTCTGCCACTGTGATGAGGTAATATATATATATATATATATATATATATATATATATATATATATATATATATATATATATATATATATATATATATATATATATATATATATATATATATATATATATATATATATATATATAAAATATATATATATATATATATATATATATATATATATATATATATATATATATATATATATATATATATATATATATATATATATATATGGTATTATATGATATTTGTAGAGGTGTTGTTTAGAGTTGTGTTTTTAGACTAGGTTTACCAGTAGATAAATATTTTTGGAGACACATATATACTGTTTTCAAATCATCAACCGATCCATATGCATTAACTTTCGTGGCACTTTTTCATATTTACACGTGATGTAAACAAAGATAATACATTATAAATGTTACAGTAGAAATATCTAACCATATGTCATCATAATGTCATATCAAACCTATATTTTGTAATTTGTAGAACATGTAGAATTAACAAATAAAGATAAGAATTTCAAGAGGTGTTATTGAATGAGTGGTTATGGCCAATCTCTTACTTTCAACTATAGTAGTTGAAATATCTTGAAATGGTGGGTTCAATTAGTAGTATATTAAATATGTCGGTTCCTACAGATCAAGTCTACCTTATTCTGTGATAAGGACTTATATACATAATATATATAAGGGGTATATATAAGCACCCTGCGTGAAAGATTTTCACGCGCGAGCTTTTTGAAAATACCGCGCATTTTTGCACGCATTATATGCACGCGTAAGAATAGATCAGGTTGATGCAAGAAGAAATATGTTATATATCATTCTCCTTGCACACAGTACCTCGTTAATACTTGGTATTTAAATTCCGCCAGAAACTTCTCTCTTCCCCCCTGCGAAAACGCGAAGCAATTTAAGAATTGTAAAATTTCACGTATCCAAATAGTGATTTTCGTTCATCAAAATCTCAAAGTTTATAATGCACATAAATCGGTAAAATGATATGTGAAGACCAGGGGGGTTGTCTTTTCGATGAGACTTATGGGAACAAATTTATTAATTGCGTCAATTCTTGCGTAAGGTCTGATATAACCTAGATGAACGGATATTTACACGCCGTCCGAGCCTCTGGAATATATTGGGAATACCCGAATACATCTATATAAAGTATAATATTTCGTACGTTTAACCTATTTTAAGCATGCATTGTAGCTTTGAAACCTAAGTGATTGCCGTGTGGTCGAGGACTCGAGTTGCCTGCAAATGTCGTGTGGCGTCGTGCAATGGTTGTCTGTCAAGTTGTTCTCTGTTATCCGACCAAAAGGAAGCACTCCTTTGCCAACTGGTGTTATAATAGCGTTATTTGTTAGCATGGTAAGGTATATGATTTGATAATATATTGCCAGAATAAATATAGAACAGAGATTATCATTTATGTGTGAAATATATATAAAGTGCCACGACTTTGTATATGTTTGACAAGGCTTAATGTTGCAAATTATGACATACGCTCTATGAATAGAAATCTGGGTCATTCCAGAAAACATCCATACCTCCCCTACTGAGGTGGGTGTTATCACCCCCCCCCCCCCTTTTACTATTAGCAGAAACACATTTTTCTCTCCCTTCTGACAGCAGAAATTTCCTCTGTCGGGAGAGTGTGGATCTTTTCTTGAAGTTGAACGACCTATTATGTATGCTTAAGTATATTGGATGGTTGGTCTCGGCAAGTACATGCTCTTCAGATATACATATAATTATATTTATTCATTGTGAGGCTATTCTTGCACGTAAATGTTTAACTAATTTTAACCTGTTAAGGTGGCTCAACACAGTTTTTGAAAAAATGGAAAATTTACGATTTAGTCACCGATGTCGTTTACGAGTTAAATTACTTTAAAGCCAAAATATCCGCCATTTTGAAACGTCATTGTTGCCATAGCAATGGCAGTTATGTAACTTTTGTGTAAAAATTCAAAAAAATTCTTTATTCTATTCTCTCTTGTTTATCAACAAGTAATAATTGTCCAAAAATTCGCATCTAAATTGTGAATTTACCATTTTTTAGAAACTGTATTGAACCGCCTTAAGATATAAAATTAGGGTTAAGGCCGGGTCACACTACACAACGATAACAATATGATAAATTGTAAACACGTGATAATTGCAGCAATGGACACTGATGCACACATTCCACTCACTCCAGCATCCAACATCTAGCTCATTTTCTGTCAAGGACAAAATCAAGATGTTAACAATATACTTACTATATGTATGCCCACCTACAGTGGCGGAAATCTTGGTGGGGCCGGGGGGCGGCCGCCCCCCCCCCCACCTTCATGGAAAATTGACGAATTTTCAGAAATTTTGATCTAAAAGAGAGCCAGAAACAGTCTTTTCGAGTGCAAATGGGGGGGGGTATGTCGGAAATTTGAAAGTTTTGTCGGAAATTTAGGAGGCATTGCCCCCCCCCCCACCGGAAAAAGTGAATTTCTGCCACTGCCCACCTACTTTCTGCCACTGCCGGCAATAAAGTTCTTATAACTTTTTATAGTTTGGAAATGCAATTGCAATGCAAATGTTGTTTGCTTTCCTACCTGATATGGTGAAGGTATGTTTAACTACCCAATTATATGCTGGTAGTTTTTTTATGTAAACTTTCTTGTTTTACCCAAAATGTTAAAATATATGTTTTAGAGTTTTGGGATTGCTGATGAAGATGCAGGTTAGCAGTTTTAATTATTATACAGTGGAACCCTACCATACGACCAATTTAAGGAAGCACTCCTTATATAAAATTAATACAATTAAGGCCACATAAAAAAAATTACTTGTTTAGCGTCCACCCATTTTAATTTTTCTAGGTGGGGCGGGCGGTTTTTTTTTTGGTTTTTTTTTTTCTCTAAAATGCAACACAAAATTCTGCTAAATGCAGGAAATCCAGTATATTACCACAGTCAAAACTCACTTTAATTCTTTCAAAATCCGTTCATGTTTTTTAATACAGTTCATGTTTTTAATAAAACAGAAAATTACCGTTTGGCGGTCACGCGCGAACACTTTAGCTGCGAACAGGCATATTCTGGGAAGGAAACATTGTGTAAACGTATTACATAGCTCCCAAGCTTTTCAAGTAAAACGGTCTTTTTTATAGAGAGTTTTTGCACTAAACTCGGATGGATTTAAAAAAAATAATAAAAAAATTGGAGGTCGGGGACTTTTATCAGGTCGGGTGGGAATGCTAAACAAGTAATTTTTTTTATGTGGCCTAATTAAAGCCTAATGTCTAAATCATGAAAATGAGGCTCTATAGCCAAGGTGGTCTGTACTTTCCAGAAGCATGTACATGAATTGTAGCATACTGTTTAATAATTGATACATTACTTTATTTTAAGGTTATTATGTGGGAATGCTTGCATCTGCAGTATTTTTAGGCAGATTTATTTCGAGGTAATTATTTAATTGTGGTCGTTAAATAAGATAATCAGCAATCACCCAATGAAATTATTGCGTATTAATAAATTTAAAACTATTGAAACGTATATTGTATATATCCTGATTTACAACATATTGAAACGATAGTCAGAAGTCAGTGGTGTGGAGGTGGGTCCCAGCTCCCTGAAGACTCCCGCCATGACCTTTGCACCAACCACACAGATACGATTAAGCTAGGGTGCTGGTAGCCTGTGGCAGGTTTGTGGGGACTGTCTCCTTATGGAATGAACTTCCAGAGAACATAAAAAATGATGTATATCTTTTAGAAAATCATACATATAGTACTTAGCATATTTTAGCCTTTGACGATTTTTAAATCCATACTAGTAATTAATTAGTTAGAATTTTATGTTAGTATATATAGCTTATATAACTCTTTGTATAATGTTAATTGGCTCTGAAAAATCCCATTGGGGAGAGTTCAATAAATTATTGTATCGTATGAGCTCTAGGTGAATTTTAATTGTTAAAATTTTGGTTCTTTCGTCCAGCTACTTCTGGGGCTGGCTTTCAGATAAAGTTGGCAGACGACAAGTTCTGTTATGGTGTACTTTCCTGCTGTGTATTACAACCTTAACATTTGGTTTTGCAAAATCATTTGAAGTTGCTCTTGTTATTAGGTTTATTACTGGCTTGCTTGCAGGTGTGTAAGTTACATGATTCAGATTGGAAGAATTTAAAAAGTCTGACTGTGGCACTGTGCTTCTCTAATTTTTACAAGCTCCAATTTTATAGGCATAGCTGGAACAGTCAAGGCATCTTTGGCAGAAGTATGTAATGATTCAAACCAGGTTAGATTACTCTTGTTTTGTTTGAAAAATCTCTTAGTATTTTTATCAAAATGCACCCAACTATATTATTCCATTTAGTGACTCTGTCTAATGCCAGACAATTTTACTCATCAAGGGGAGTCTGCCTGAGTCTCATGCTATAATGGGTTAGCGATCTGCCCTATTTTGTTAGCCCAATTAAGTTGCAAGCATCTAAATTTATCGTTTCACTTTGTCCACTAATGCCAGATGATTTTACTTGACAATTAAGGCCGGGAGCTCACTGGACTAGTCTTGTGCTTTAATGGGTTAATGAATTAGATAATTTTTTTCAAATTTATAAGCTCGTATTTGCCATGTTCTGTACAGGCGTTAGGAATGTCAGTGATTGTGACTGCGTGGAATTCTGGACTGATCATTGGTCCAGCTGTAGGAGGTATTAAAAGCTGTTTAATTGATGCTATTAACTCGTCTTTGATTTATGTTTATAATAGTTTATTTCTGTATTATCTACTGTATTTACTAGGTTACCTTGCGAATCCAGTTGAAAAATATTCTGTATTTAAAGGGAGTAAGTAAAATTATTTATTTTAAGTATAAGTTTAAGCTAGCCAAGAATAAGTCAAACAGTATAAGCCACGTTTACACTACTGCAAGAGCAGCTTGTTCCAGGTCACAGCCAGACCAAGGCAATTGGGATACGTTTCCACTGTTTACAAAATTGCCACAAGGCTTGACTTAATTAGGCCAGCTTTACCAGACATTCTAGCCTAGCTCAGACCTAAACTAGGCCAAAGCTTCGTTACAAATTACCAAATGTAGACCAAAGCAAGGCTCAACCACTGCTATACAGTATATCCTACAGTAACTCAATTACATGCAGTATTATAATCCTAACTCAATTGCTTTTCTTATTATAACGGAGGAGACATAGACTACATTTTATTTCAGCTATAGTAAAATGTTTCATCTTCCTCCAATAAAAAATGGCACAAGTAACATTTCCTGGTTTTCCTTGAAGCAATATGTTACAAAACCATTAATTAAGTGATATTACACTGTGCCAACACTGAACTGCATGCTGCAGTTGGAAGTTTATAATTTTCCCTGCAATCTATTTTCAGGTTCTTTTTTTGAAAACTTTGCCTACCTATTTCCATGTCTGGTGAATGCAGCAATTTGCTTCTTCAGTTTGCTCCTGGTATTTTTTATCTTCCCTGAAACTTTAGCTTCTAAACGGTATGTGCGCGCCTCACATTTGCAAGTCAGGGATTCGATTCAGTATACATACAGTATGTTGTCTGATTATAATTTCACCTCAGTTGTATGCGAGAAGAGTGCTTCCAGTTTAATTCTACCAAAGACTGTACTTTAGAACTGATAGAGCTACCCAGTATAAATAAGATTAGTATAGCTAGGTTTCTCTTGTAGTAACACTGAGATGACCCTTACTGCATGGATCTCTAGGGAGAACAGTTAGAACTGATAGAGTTATCCAGTATAAATAAAGTTAGTTTAGTTTACTAGGTTTTCTCGTGTACATAGTAACACTGGATCAATAAGAGATGACCCTAATTACTGGTCCTCTAGGGAGAACAGTTTAGAACTGATAGAGCTATCCAGTATAAATAAAGTTAGTTTAGGTTTCCTCCTGTAGTAACACTAGATCAACAAGAGATGATCCTTACTAGACCTCTAGGAAGAACAGTTTAGAACTGATAGAGCTATCCAGCATAAATAAAGTTAGTTTAGGTTTCCTCCTGTAATAACACTGGATCGATAAGCCCTTACTGGACCTCTAGGAAAAACAGTTTAGAACTGATAGAGTTACCCAGTATAAATAAAGTTAGATTAATAACTGTTTAGTTGAGCAGTGTGAAAGAAGTTGTTTATTTCACATTCTTTTTCTTCTTTTAAAAGAAAGACGAAAGACAAAGAAATACCAGTATCGATTATCAATCCAGAAACCGAAATTCGCAAAACTCCACAAGCTTCCCCTTCTTCGAACAGACAACGGTCAACGTCCAAAACAAGTCAGAATGATCTACCGAACGGCTGTCAGTCAGGACAACAAGACGAGGACTCCACCATCCAAAAGTCACTCCCAAAAACTGAAGAAATGTTGTTACTGTCCGGCTCTGTGTCCTTCTTACCTGAAATACATCTACAAAGCTATCCTGGTTCGATGGAAAAAAATGATGGTGCGAAAGAGGAGCCATATGTGCCTCCTGTGGGAAAAGCTAAGCCTGGAGTGTTAAGAAAAACTTATAAATCAATGAAACAAAGTAAACTGGCAAAACTTTGTAGGTATGGGTCATTATAAAGATTATTAGAAAATTCTTAAACGTTGTAGTCTGGTGTAGGTAGTATTCCACAATAAGCTCACTCAAAGTCGTGGTTTGTGTCTGTCGGCGGAGTGAACTACCTGAAAAAGATATCTCAAACAGGGTGGTCCAGTGTAGGTAGTAGTCTACAATAAGCTGTCGTGGTTTGTGTCTGAACTACCTGAAGAAGACATCTCAAACGTGGCGGTCCAGTGTAGGTAGTATTCTACAAGAAGCTGTCGTGGTTTGTGTCTGAACTACCTGAAAAAGATATCTCAAACGTGGCGGTCCAGTGTAGGTAGTATTCTACAATAAGCTGTCGTGGTTTGTGTATGAACTACCTGAAAAGATATCTCAAACGTTATGGTTAAAAACGTCTGGTACTGGGTAGACTCGTTATTGGGTTTGGTTTTCTTACAGAAACAAAGACGTGAGAAATTGTGTTGGTTTATATACTGTATTTTCTTTTGCTGCGGTAGCTGAGCATGAAATATACAGTGTATGGGCGGCAACTGGAAAAGAGTATGGTGAGATTTACCCTCTTAACTCTTACCCTTATTGGTTACCTTAACTCTTACTGTACCATTATTGGTTATTATAGATTTCTCTTATGGTACATTAGTAAAAACCATGATGTTTAATACTTACCTGTAAAATATCATCAATGGTTTTTCACCAATTTACCATATGGGGAATCTATATAATTACCAATAATGGTAAGAGTTAAATGTTTACATTGAAAGTATACATGGTAAATCTTTCATAACCATTCAAAAACCAAATAATGAAAATTAGAATTTTACCCCTGTGATTTGAATCTACGTAAGGTGCTCATATAGTGCATGCTAGCAATCTAATTCTTCCTTCCTCCATTATTTTCCGAACTGTCCGCGTCTAGAATCAAAGCCCGTCCAGAGCTCAGTGAATGTGGTTGCACTAAACAGTGTCCCGACTTTCAGGTGGGCTTGATTTTAGCACAGATGATCTTGGATTTACTTTAACGCTTGTCGGGATTGGCTGTGCTATTTCCAACTGTATTATTTTCCCACAGGTAATATTAACGTTTTTGTGGTTAGAGCACGATCATAAAATAATCTGGGGGAATTGGCCTTCGCGTAACATTTCACATATAACAAAATATTGCCATCCAGTCATGATCCAGTGATCAGAATGTTTCATTGTCTTTTATTGTTTTGAGAATCCCACTGTTCTCCATGCCATCCAGTCATGATTCAGTGATCAGAATGTTCCATTGTCTTTTCATTGTTTTGAAAATCCCACTGTTCTCCATGCCATCCAGTCATGATCCAGTGATCAGAATGTTCCGTTGTCTTTTCATTGTTTTGAAAATCTCACTGTTCTCCATGCCATCCAGTCATGATCCAGTGATCAGAATGTTCCATTGTCTTTTCATTGTTTTGAAAATCTCACTGTTCTCCATGCCATCCAGTCATGATCCAGTGATCAGAATGTTCCATTGTCTTTTCATTGTTTTGAAAATCTCACTGTTCTCCATGCCATCCAGTCATGATCCAGTGATCAGAATGTTCCATTGTCTTTTCATTGTTTTGAAAATCCCACTGTTCTCCATGCCATCCAGTCATGATCCAGTGATCAGAATGTTCCATTGTCTTTTCATTGTTTTGAAAATCCCACTGTTTTCCATGCCATCCAGTCATGATTCAGTGATCAGAATGTTCCATTGTCTTTTCATTGTTTTGAAAATCCCACTGTTCTCCATGCCATCCAGTCATGATTCAGTGATCAGAATGTTCCATTGTCTTTTCATTGTTTTGAAAATCCCACTGTTTTCCATGCCATCCAGTCATGATCCAGTGATCAGAATGTTCCATTGTCTTTTCATTGATTTGAAAATCCCACAGTTCTCCATGCCATCCAGTCATGATCCAGTGATCAGAATGTTCCATTGTCTTTTCATTGTTTTGAAAATTCTACTGTTCTCCATGTCATCCAGTCATGATTCAGTGATCAGAATGTTCCATTGTCTTTTCATTGTTTTGAAAATCCCACTGTTCTCCATGCCATCCAGTCATGATCCAGTGATCAGAATGTTCCATTGTCTTTTCATTGTTTTGAAAATCCCACTGTTCTCCATGCCATACAGTCATGATCCAGTGATCAGAATGTTCCATTGTCTTTTCATTGTTTTGAAAATCCCACTGTTCTCCATGCCATCCAGTCATGATCCAGCGATCAGAATGTTCCATTGTCTTTTCATTGTTTTGAAAATCTCGCTGTCCATGTCATCCAGTCATGATCCAGTGATCAGAATGTTCCATTGTCTTTTCATTGTTTTGAAAATCCCACTGTTCTCCATGCCATCCAGTCATGATCCAGTGATCAGAATGTTCCATTGTCTTTTCATTGTCTTGAAAATCCCACTGTTCTCCATGTCATCCAGTCACTGTAGTTAGAAATGCAAGCTAGATTCAAAGACAATCCTCGATCAACTGTGCTCTTGCAACTCACCACAGCAATTCTTGTGATAATTGGTCTGGTATTCTGTGGTTCATAACTGATCAGCTCTTGTATCTAAAAACACGAGTAAAAAAAAGGGGTCTGTTCGATCATCTGCCATTACTCCCTATCTGTCGTTCCAGTTTCATCTGCTATCACTTACCTTTCCTGAAGGAACATCCACGTTACAATAAACACTTGACAATGCCACACATACTGTACTGCCATCAAAATTCTGAAACAAAATATTCCAGCAGCTTTAAAAAGGAGGTGCCGAACTAATGGACCCATTGCCTAATGACCAAAATTTTGATCTCAACAAGTCTAGACAAAAATTTCACAACAGCTTGAAAGAGCATCACAAAATTAGTAATACTGCAAAGTTTCGTTGCGAAATGTTGTAAAGTGCGGATAATATAGCCTTGCGAAGTTTGCCGTTTTTCAATCATTTACAACAATTCGCAACAAAACTTCGGAATATTACTAATTTTGTGATGCTCTTTCAAGCTGCTTTTGTCTAGACTTGTCCAGATCAAAATTTTGTTTATAGGGAATAGGTCCAATGTCAACTTGAAAAAAATCCTTACCAAATGCACAGGTGATTCAGCAAGCGATATTTCTCTTTTGGGATACACATTATCTTCTGTGATCATCACAATATGAATCACTTTCTTTCTTGTACCAACACATACCTGTCACAAGACACAAGAATGCTTTGCACATCGTTCAATCACACGTAAAAATCTCACAACTTGTCAACAAGATTGTGTTCGCAACAGGCTTGTAGCAAGCTTGCCAACAAGTTGTAACAATGCTGTTATTTTATCAAGTTGCTACAAGGTTGTCACTTATGCTCGATGGGTAAATTATTTGTAAGGCGTAGTAAGATTTCTTGATTTAAAAATCCGCTTTTTTCTTGATTTAATTATATAAATTAGTAGATAATTTTCGGTAATCGATGATCTTAATTTGAATTTACACCTCAGTAAGCCAACTAGTTAATTGTTCCAATTAGATTACAAATTGTAATTTTTCTGTGGTTTTGTATGTACAACGTAATCTTTGTAATGTTTTGGTGGGACTTAATAAGGGATTTATGTTCTGTTGTCAAAAAAAGTTACAAAGATGCATCGTCTTGACGGATGACCCGTCCATTTACTGCGTTTGATACAACGACGAACTATCTTTTCATTGCCCAAGTTCGCCCAGATGCATCATCCGTCCCTTAAGATAAATCTGGCCAACGTGTTTGTGTTTTGAATTGAAAAGTGTGAAGAAGTTTACCTCGACGGAAAACGGATCAAACGACGCAGGATTATCATTGCGAGCTACGCAAGTTGCCTGTAAAAACGTGGAAATATATTCATTAAGAGTCGCTCTGCTGTACTTATAAAGTTCAAGTAAGTAAAGTACATCATTACCCCTTTCAGCTTGTCTTTAAATCCAGAAATTACCATCTATACAAGAGGAATTAAAAGATTACATGGAATAGCCATAAATGAGAAATTTGTTACTTTCTTACATTTCTTCTTAAACTTTTGTTGTTACAATTCTTAATTAGTTTTTAAACCTATTGAGTGTCCGCGCTGACTCTCTCCTTGATTAGTAAAATCGTCCGGTATTAGAGAGTGAAACAAAGTAAGGTACATCAGGGCACATTGCTACAGTTAGTATAATGTAATTATTCCTTTATTTTTTCCGAAGGAAATTTTGTACATACATAGGCCTACATACACAAGGTACATCCATGTTATAATATATAAAATTTTAGAAACAGAAAAATTTTAACTTCAGCATTAATACTAATTTATAATTTGTTTTTTGGTACTCCAAGCCCATCATACTAAGAAGGGATTACATGGAATAGCCATAAATGAGAACTCTGTCACTTTCTTACATTTCTTCTTAAACTTTCGTTGTTACAATTCTTAATTAGTTATTTAATCCATTGAGTGTCAGCACTCTCCCCTTGGCGAGTAAAATCATCTGGTGTTAGACAGAGTCAAACAATAAAGTGAGGCACGCTGCTTAATG